CTTCTCCTCCTCCTCATCATTATCCTCATCCTCTTCTTTATCCCTCTTCCCCTCTTCCCCTCATCCCCTCTTCCCCTCATCCCCTCCTCCTCCTCCTCCTCCTCCTCCTCCTCCTCCTCCTCCTCCTCCTCCTCCTCCCCCTTCTCCCCCGGGCGACCGTCCAGGGAGGGCCACGAGGGCAGTGGCCACCGACGGGACTGCCCACGGCGCTCAGCGCTTAGGAGGAGGAGGAGGAGGAGGAGGAGGAGGAGGAGGAGGAGGAGGAGGAAGAAGTGGATCACACGATGGGCTGGGGGAGGCGGGGCCGACCCAGCGTCGGAGCCATCTGGCACCTCCGTCTGCGCATCGTCGTCGCCGAACTTGGAGGCGCCTGAAGGGGGGAATGGCCGAAGAGCTTTGCGCGCATGCCACTTGGAGGACGGAGTAAAATAGTTTAACCATGTTGCATGCAAGATGCTGAAATACACTCTCCTGTCCCAAGTCCCCTCCTCACAAGAGCCCAAGGACCCCTTTCCGATACCATGATACCGTGAAACAGAAACTGATCATGATGATGATGAAAGCTGAAGAAGATGATGACACTGCTGCTGATTGTGAAGATGATGCTGGTGCTGATGATGGTGGTGCTGCTGCTGATACTGATGGTGATGACAATGATGAGGATGGGGGTGATGGGGATGATGGGGATGATATGCTGATGATGAAGAAGATTATGCTGCTGCAGATGATAATGATGCTGCTAATGATGATGATGCTGATGATGCTGATTATGATGATGATGGTGATGATGATGCTGATGATGTTGCTGCTGCTGATGATGACGTTGATGATGCTGCTGCTGATGATCAGAAGGAGGAAGAGGAGGAGGAGTAGGAGGAGGGGAAGGACGAGGAGGAGGAGGGGGAGGAGGAGGAGGAGGAGGAGGAGGGGGAGGAGGAGGACGAGGAGGAGGACGAGGAGGAGGAGAAGGAAGAGGAAGAGGAAGAGCAGGGGGAGAAGGAGGAGGAAGAGCAGGAGGAGGAGGGGGAGGAGGAGGAGGAGTAGGAGAAGGAGAAGGAGGAGGAACGCGAAACTACCCTCGGTCCTGGGACCCCGCTCAAAAGGCCTAGCACACGCCTCCTTTCAGGCCTGCACGATGCCTGGTGGAAGCTCGCCCTCGAATCCGATATCTGCAGTGCCCGCAATTCCGCCAGAGCCGGGCTCCTCCAGTGGCCCGCGCTCGGCCTGAGCCTCACCGCACCGCAGAGCGCAACCTCTGGCAATCCTTTCGCGGCCAGGGGCTAGAAGAAACTGGGCATCTTGAACACTCCAGATCGAGGAACAAACGACGGCATGCAGACGATTTCTCGGAAGTCTGCGCGGACTTCTTGGAACGGCGCTGGGGCCCCATCTCTGGTGCGTGGAGCGCGCCAGGGGCGGCGCCGGAGGCGCCGCCAGGGGGGACAAGACGACGATCCAAGAAATCAATCCGCGCGGACCTCCGAAGCATTCTGTTTACGTATTTCTCCTTCGACCGGAGCAGGGCCCCCTTCTTACCATGCTGTTCCATCGGACAACCCAAACTTCATGCATGAGCCATCCTGGCAGTCCTCTCGGCGGTGAGCGCTTTGACTGCGTGGACTACAGCCAGACGGCCTGTGCCAGAGCAGCACTCCCGCCAGAGATGCTGGGGTTGGCCGCACCAACTGGGCACCAGCCGAACCCCCGACACACCCACCGAGCGCACGAGAAGGCAACGAGGCGGCAACGAGGCCGCACCAACTGGGCACCAGCCGAACCCCCGACACACCCACCCAGCGCACGAGGCAACAACGAGGCGGGAACGAGGCGGCACCTACCGGGCACCAGCCGAAACATCGCCGCACCCATCCAATTCCATAGGTAATCGAAATACTAGTCCATAAGTGCAAACACTGTTTGGGAAACCACGAGAAACACTCAGGCCACGAAACCTTCGTCTCAGTCCGAGCCGTCGCGACCGCGAGCCTCATAGCTTTACTCCCGAGCTCGATGATGGCGTCGAGGCCCTCTCTCCAAGGCCAAAACCATGGAGCAGGAGGTCGAGGAGGAGGAGGAGGAGGAGGAGGAGGAGGAGAACGAGAAGGAGGAGGAGGAGGAGGTGGTGGAGGAGGAGGAGGAGGAGGAGGAGGAGGAGGGAGAAGGGAAGAGGAGGAGGAGGAGGAGGAGGAGGGGGAGGAGGAGGAGAGGAGGAGGAGGAGGAGGAGGAGGAGGAGCAGCAGCAGGAGCAGGAAGCAGGAGGGGGGGAGGAGAAGGAGGAGGAGGAGAAGGAGGAGGAACAGGATGATGATAATGATGATGATGATGACGACGATGATGATGATGCTGCTGATGATGATGATGCTGATGATGTTGCTGATGATGCTGAGGATGATGATGAGGAGGAGGAGGAGGAAGAGGGGAGGAGAGTGAGGAGGAGAACGAGGGAGGAGGAGGAAGGAGGAAGTGGAGGAGGAGGAGGAGGGAGGAGGGGAGGAGAGGAGGAGCAGGAGGAGGAGAGTGAGCCGGGGGCGGCCAAGAGGGGGGCGTCCAAGAGGGGGGGTTGCAAAATCATGACCGGCGGCATGTGCGCGGCCCGGGGGGGGGGGACGTAATGAAATAAGAAGAGGCGCCATGAAATCAGAGGAAATATCATGGCCCCGCCATGATATCCCCCCCCCCTAGTCATCCCCCCCTCTTTGCCGACCCCGAGTGAGGAGGAGAACGAGGAGGAGGAGGAGGAGGAGAAGGAGGGGGAAGAGGAGGGGGAGCAGGAGGAGGATGAGGAGGATGAGGAGGAGGAGGAGGAGGAGGAGGAGGAGGAGGAGGAGGAGGAGGAGGAGGAGGACAAACCAGGACGAGGTGTATGGGGCAAGGCGGCGGCAGGCGCGCGCGCGGCGGCGGATCGCAGAGCGCCCCGCCAACCCTGCCAGCAGCGCCGCCAGCAGAGCCGAAAGCAGAGCCACTTGCTGGGCGGGCGGGACCTGCGCGACCCAGCGCCGCAGCAACGCAACGGCCTTCGCGAGAGAGCCCGCCAGCGGATCCCGGGCGGCGGCCCCGTAGAGCGGCCACCCGCGGGCGCAGTCCCCGCCGCCCTCTTGGACAGGGGCGCACCTGAAGCCGCGCGCGGTCCGCCGCAGCCTCCGCAGCTGCCGGGGGTGGCCGAAAGCAACCTGCACCTCATCGCCGTCCGCCCGCCAGGTGCCGGCGCCCCACGTGGTGTCCAGGCGGCCGCCCCTGGAGAACTCGATGAAGCCGCTGGCGCCCGCCCCCGGGGCGGCCCATGCCCACCTCTGGCCCCCCGGGACGAACCAGCGCGCCGGGAGCTCTGCGCGGAGGCCCTCGTTATTGGCGGCCCATCTGTCCCAGCAGCGGTCGCAGAACCACGCGTCGGCCACCGCGTCGCGGCGGCCGCTCGCCGCCTCACGCCTGCACCAGCCGCACTTCTGCGACGGCGGCACGGTGGCCAAGCCGGTCCACGAGCGCCACCCGAGCAAGGCGCCCCAGTGCCAGCCGCTCTGGTCCACCACGCCGACCTGCTGGGCCGCTGGCGCAGCGCCAGCTGTCGCGTCGTCACCGCTCCTCGGGCCGCCAGCCCACGTGTTCGACTTGCCGTTCGACCGGACGCCCCAAGGATAGCCAACACTGAACAGGACGTCGTCGCGCTTGCAGGCCTTGCACCTCTCCGCCCTCCCCTCGTTCCGCGCCCAGCAGCCCGTGCAGAAGCAGTCCCCGAGCCTGGCGGGGTCCTGCGAGAGGAGCCACAGCTGGCGGCCAGAGGCGCGCACGAGTGCAAGGGTGCCGCCTCGGCCCCAGTGCCCGACCTGCACGGCCTCCTCGTCGCTGGACCAGTCCCAAGCCTTGGGCCACCGCGAGTCCAGCGTGGCCTCCTCGAGGAGCCGGCGCTCCGCGTGCCTCTCGGCGGCCTCCGCGAACGAGGCCGCCTCCAGAGCCCGCCGCGGCTCGGCCGCCGCGGCGTCGCACTGCAGCTCGGAGATCAGCTCCACCAGCAGCGGCACCATGACGCCCGCCCGCTCCATGTTCCTGGCGATGCGGCCGTGGACGGGGTGCACCACCAGGCTGTGCCGAGGCAGAGGCAGCTGCCTCGCGTACACGAGGTGCTCCTCCAGCCCGACGTGGTACTCGATGCGGGCGCCAGCGCCGATGGCCTCCAGCACGTTCTTCCTCATGCGCCGGGTGGCAGCGTCCAGCTCGTTCGCCACGAAGCCGGGGCGCAAGTGGGAGTGGCGCAGGTCGGTCTGGGGGCCGAAGACCGCGATCGTGCTCGCCAAGTGCGCGTTAGAGAGGGCGCCGAAGCCGCCCATGGAAGTTCCGACGAACATTACCCGCCGGTACCGCTGGCAAATCTCCCTGAGCTTGGCCTCCACTGCGAGCGCCAAGTGGTTCGTGTCCGCGTACCACTGGGCGTTCGTTTCGCACAAGAACAGCACGTCGAAATCCCGGAGCGGAAGGCACTCCGCTGGCCCCCAGGTGGCCTCGCTGCCTGACTGCGCGCCAAGGGCTGGCCTCGTCCATAACGCGCCGCCTGCGCGCCCAGATGCGTGTTGGCCCTCGAACGCCACGGGCGCGTCGTGGACCTCTGCGTAGAGGTCTGCGAACGACTGCACGGGGCTCCGCACCACCTTGCCCTGTGCCTTCGAGCCCGCTCCGAGGACCAGCGACTTCGTTGGGCGTGGTTTGCAAAAGGTCTGGCTTGCAACCCGCGCCTGGGGGGCGGCCGGGCGAGGACCTCGCCAGAGATCTCTGCAGCGCCCCGACGAGGGCTGCTCAAACCTTTGGCGCAGCGTGGGGCCCCCCTGAGTAGCAACGGCGCCGATCGCAGACCACACCTCGGCGCAACCACACCCATTGCAGTCGCCGAGAGGACCTGCCCCAGGCAGCCGAACCACTCCGGCTCCCCCTGGCTTGCTGCGAAGGCCACCACCAGCAGGTCGCCTCCGTAGGCGGGCTGCGGCGAGCACAGCGGCAGCACGCCAGCGGGC